CTTAACGCGCTGTTCATCGCTAAACATCTCTTCTTTCACTTTCAATTTGAAGATAAATTTGTTGAATAAGACATTACGCATGATATCTGTAAATTTATCATCATCCTGCCCTTCATATTTTAGGAAATACAGTTCTTTTGCAGACACACCCATGATCTGGTCACCACATTCCTGAAATGCAGTAACCCAGGTTAAGCCAGTATGGTCCTGAATCTGGAACTGAAGAATGTACCTATATTCGCATTCATCAACAGTCTGATCACACCTGTCACACCGCCATTTCCCATCCCCATTATTTGTCACTTTTTTGTTGCACTGTCGATCTCCTATCATGAGGGGACAGGCAGTATAGCAAAAATTCTCACCCTTTATAAATGTAACAGTGGCACTTATTGTGATCCAATCTGGTTTCTCGGAAGTGCCCAATCGTTCATCTTTGATTTGAGATATAGTTTTTCGCACATCTGTCCGACCAATGCTGCTCACTTCTCGGGAAAGAGATACTGATGGCATGTTCTTTCCCTCCCTTTCGAACCATGCCTTCAGTTTTAAAGCTTCAGGAAAATCCGGTTCTATAAACAACTTGCTTGTAGATATAGTACCTACAGATTTGCCATTAAAATCATTTACTCTACCAGCTTTGACTGCCAAAACAGGGGAAGCTCCAGAATCACACATACTTTGAAGTGTTTGACCTTCTGCATTGCAGAAATTTCCCCACAAAGTTAATTCAACACTTTTGCCAGACATATCCTTCAGCTGGAGAACTCTTTTCTGAGTTTCTGTACCATTTTTCCTCATTATTGAGCTAGATGGACTTATTGAAGACACCACACCAATCACATCTACCACACTATTGTTCTCCAAGGCCTCAATATCACTGATTGGCCGAAAATGAAATTGTTGCTGAGGAATAGTTCTGTCATCCTCAAAACAAGGTTGAACCACTGATGTGCTCTCGAGCATAATTTCATGGTCATTTGGAAGGTGATTGTAAGCTTTCTGAGCTGGTCTCAAGCTACCCTTGGAAATCATATACACTCTACCTGGCTCAATCTGGTGGTAAAATTGGTCAGCTACAGAGTTAAAGCATGTTACTCTTATTTCTCCTCCATCAGAATCAAGAAGATCAAAAGAGAATACTTTTCCATCACCCCTTTGATTGTTGTAGTGTCTGAGTTCTGCCTTAGCAGTAACCCTGGCCTTGATAGTCCATCGACCCTGATATGGATTGAGAGCAGCAATTGGAACAATCCTCGGCGGTGCTTCGTTCTTGGCTATAGGTCCTCTGTTTGAGTACAACGGCGGTGGCTGCTGATAAGAAGACTGAGGATGCTGCTGATAAGAAGGCTGAGGTGGCCGCACATAATTATTCATCGGAGCCCGTGAAATCGCTGGACCAGATTCTGCTTTGGGGTAAAGGGGTGCACTTGTTGAACTATATCTTCCAGAGTCAATATTACCAGCAGAGGAAGTATTAGAACCAATGCTACGGTTTGACTCAGGAGATCGCATCCCTCCAGGCATATTTGGTCTTGGAGCTGAGCTTGAAGTAGCTGCAACAGCAGTAAAGGATTGAGGGCTGCCACTTAAACCACCTGATTGATTGGTGGAAGGCTGAAGTGGGGCAGCTGGTCGTGGCACTGAAGGACTAATACCATTTGGGAGATAATGCTTTGGTTCTCCAATGGTATCACATGTCTCAAGTAAAATATCTAATTCAATGATAATGATGATCCTGTTTGAAGAATTAGACAAGAAAAATCAATAAACAAACACTGAAAGCTACAAGTATGGTTCTCAAAGACACTTACAAAAAAAAATAAGTGTGTACATATAGTTTCTTATTGGAAAGTGTAGCTGGAAATTACTGGCATGGTGGGGTTGCAGGTCAGCTGTTTGCTAATTATTTTTGAAAGAGCCAATCTCAGAAAGTTCATCATACAAAAATGTCATCCACTCACCTTAGAGGAAAAATTAACAATTAGGGTCTAACTATACACATATAAGCCGTGCTTCAAATCACAGCACTGTCACTAGAGGAAAAGCCGATCTACAAACCTAAAATGTTGCAACACCAGCTGCAGGAGCAATGCATATACACAGAAGTTTACCATATACACATTTAAGGAACCCTGTTATAATAGGAAAAAGTTTACCATATACACAGAAGTTTAAACCCAAGTTGAGCCTATTCTTGAATTAGGTTAATAAAGCAATCCTAGGTAACTAAGCTATAAGCAAGCACGCAATAACAGCCCCTAATAACGATCAACAAAAAAGAAAAAGTCCACCACTCTCCCAAGATTTTTGAGTTTATAAGGTAAAGAAGATAAAAACAAATTCACAGACAAATTATTGAACAGAATCACCTTTTTTTCTCCCATTGCTTTGACCGTCCTAAACAATACGGGAGTTCGTGCTAAAATTTGCGCATGCAATTGATTTTCTCAAACCTAATAATCATATATATCTTCAAGCAAACAGACACAGTTCTTGTGGCAAAGCATCTTAATGAAAAAACTAACTCAAGGTGCACATATGCAATCCGAAATTTCAAGCATTTATATCACATAAATTGACAAAATTGAAGGAAAATCAGAGAAATTACATTCGATTTTGGATGTTATTACAAACGAACTGATTCATCTGAATAATAGATCCTTTTTGAATCTGTTGGGACCGAATAAGATCGTTTTTTTGCGTAGCTAACATCCCTTGCTGAAGAAACTCCCCGTCCGATAAAAGAATCCGGTAGCGTTCGTTATTGTTATTCTGATTCTGAGTGTTCACCAACCGAATATCTGTGATTTGTAACACCGGTTTAAAATCCTCCGGATGTGCTTCGCCGTTCGTTAAAATCGCTATCGCGCCTTCCGTCAAGTTTATCGGCGGCATTTTTTCCGGCGAAATTACACTTTTTTTCTCGAGAAACTGACAGAGAAAGAGAAAGAGTGAGTTGAAAGTGAAGCGGAAGAGCTTTTCAAAACCCTAAAAAAGGAAGCGGGATAGAATAGAACTGAGCGGGCGCGAAACTGAAATAAAAGGGGGAAGACGTTCTTTTTTTGTGATGTGGGTAATGACAGGATTGGCCTTTTATTCGCTGCTTGAGGCTTCTGAGAGAAGCTTGGAAGTTTTGATCGGAGGTTCTACAGAGTAGAGTAATTAGTAATTGCAGAGGAAGCGTCAAGTTTTTTATGCTTAGCAATTTAGACTATCAGGTTTCAAAAAGAAGGAAATGAACCACAAAAGTAACTATAGCAAAATAGGTCGTGGGGTTGCTGGCACTTCGACTAATTTCACGAGGTACCCGCTATCTCCTACTAGCACAAATTAATATACTTTTAATTTAATAGTATACTTTAATTTAGGCTTATATTTAATAATAGTAGACATTTGATTTAGGTTTTATATTTAGCAAATACTAGTATATTATTTCCTCTGTCCCAATTTATGAAGCAAGCACTGTTTACCTAGGCACAAATTTTAAGAAAGAAATGAAGATTTTTTAAACTTATGATCTAAAATAAATCTTTGATATTTGTGTGGTTATAAATTATCTCATTAAAGGTAAAATAAAAATTTAAAGTTTAATTATTTTTAAATATAAAAATATAATATTTTTTAAGAATAAATAAAACATGAAAGTGTGTCATATATATGGGGAATATATATAGTAACAAATAGTAATACCTTAAGAAAAGATAAAATTGATTTGGGTGAAGTGTTGTTTACTATTAATTACGTTACAACTCTTTTATTTATATTTGTTTGTTTGTTTAGGTTATCTTCTCATCTTCAAACTCTAGCATCGGTGCTCGACTCAAATCAGGAGTTAGATAAGAATAGGCAAAGATGATGTATTGTGGCCATGGTGTTTGTATTTTTTTAGTGGTGGGTAAGAATAAAAGAAGAGGCATGTAGTGGGTGTGAGAGACGATGATATTGCGGTATTTCAGTGATAGAGACGATGGATAGAAGATTAAGAATGATCGTAAGGTTCCAAAATTTTTTACAATTAAATTGTATGAGTTTCGAGCCTAAAAAGTACAATTTAAGTAAAGTCCGAGCCACATGGGGCCTACACGAGTGCAATAAAGTTATGAAAACACTTGGAGAATAATTACTTTATCAATGGATAAGTGTTAGATTAATGAAAGCATGAGAGAAGATTGCGAAAAATAAGGGGTTAAACTAAAAGATCATAGATCAAGCCTAGACGAGCTTAACAGAGTAATTAATGTAAGGATCTACCCGAGAGAAATAGAGTCGTTAGAATACTTAGACATCACCAAAATATAAGTTGGATGGATTTAGGTTGGATAGCCAAGCACATAACTCATGACTATTCGACTAAAGATAAAGTCGAAGGAGGACTGAGGCAATTGTGCCCTCCATCTGTTGCCATGGTTCAGCCATGTCATTTTTCATAGAATACGAGCGGGGGAAGCCTTAGCTAACCGTGGTCGTTTCTCAATTGTGGCCATCAACTATTACCACGGTTTAGCTGTGGCCATCAACTACTGCAATGGCTGAGCCAGGTCTATATATACCCCCCAAGTCGGGAAGAGAGAAAATGAAGAGGGTTTGAGTTCTAGAGGTTCCAGTAAGAGAAAGAGGTATCCTGCCACCATTGATGCTTGACAAGGTTAGTCCTTATGGATATTTATGTTAGATTTCATCACATGAATACAAGTATTTTTTTTTCCATTTATATTAAAATTTTTAGACTTTTAAAGAATCACTAAGAACACTCAAGAGAGAAGATCTCTAGGGTTTATTCGAAAAGGTAATGTCACAAATCCTCCTATATTTATGTCAATAAAATAGGTCTTGAGAGATTATAAAATTAGAAAAACATGGTTTGGTTGAGCTATTTAGTGAATCACAGAGTTTACGAAAACTTCACCGTTATTGGGATGGGTGAAGAAGTAGATGAATAGTAACAATAGATATTGAAATATAAGTTTGGGATTACTAAGGGTTACTAACAGACAATAGACCTCCATGAATAGACTCGGAATGAAGTAACATCTTGGTTTAAATGGGTCAAACCCAATGAGTTTTATGGTTGTTGTTGAACAATTCGTGGCAAAAATAGGTATTTCATATAGATATTGGCTTTTTGGCGATGTTTGGGTATTTAAATCAAATTGAAGCTTTTTAGTATTATTTTGGATTTGGGGCTTGAAGTAAATTTATTAAACTTACTCGTCTTGAGCGATTTTTCTAAAGCATGATTCGAGTCAACACGTGAGTTATTTATAAATATGCGTCCGCGCTTGTGGGGGCAAGTGGGTGTGGATGTCACCATGTGTCTTTGAGTTGTGTTGCATATGAAATATCATTATTATTTAATAAAAAACTTATTTGTAAATACTTGTTGGTAATAATACTTTGAGGCAAATATTTTAAGACTTGATAAATGTAATAGCACTTGTTGTACCTTTAAAAAAATTAATGTTAAATTGCTAAAGGGCTTAACATGAAAATGGTTATTTGTCTAATTTTGTTTGAACAATTTGGATTGGCTATGAAAAATTATTGGCTATGAACGTAATGATTTGATCAATATTTGAAATATTATATATTTTGAAGTTAATTTGTGAATACCACCGAGATTGGTACGAATGTTTAGTTTGTTATCATGAAACTACACGTGCTGGTGTAGGGTCATATTCCACGGCTAACCAAAATTTGTTGAACAAAGTCCCCCGTCATGAGGACAAATGATCACTACTTAAAGTAATAAGGTTAATTCGACTCGTACGGTACTACGAAAGCCGTCTGGGCGAGTAGAGTTAAATACTTGTGGCTAGGTTAATCATGATCACCCAATGGTTATGTATTATGTCGGTGTCGCTATAATAATCCTAGTGAAAGGTAAAAGAGAATTTTCTTATGCTAGGTATAAGGAGCAGAAAGTAATTTCAATGACTTAATAATATTAAAAATTATTTTGTGTGATTTATATTTAAATCACGGATTAATATAGATATTTTTAAAGTGTCACGACCAAAAAATCCACCACATGCATCTTGATGGCACCTAATCTCTAAGACTAGGTAAGCCTATTACTAACAATGATTAAGCCAGTTTTAACAATGGTAATTTGAAACATAGTTTAAAGTAAATACCAAAACAAAAGCGGAATAAGCTTATGCGACAATGATCATCGGGGACGGATTTACCAAGGGCGAAGCGGTGTCACGTGACACTGCTTCGTCGAAAAATTTAACAAATTATATGTATAAAAATGATATGCGAACATTAAAAACTTTATAAATGTAAATGGATGACATCACTTGCAGAACACATTCCTCTGGTACAGCGGAAAGGACGCTACATTTTATCATAGAGGTGGCAGGATCGATTCTCCCAACCAATATAGTTGGGCTTCTTTTTTTTTTCCTTCTATAGCAAATTACTCAATATATCAATAATCTTGCTAGTACTGTCATNTTCTTATAACGATTTATTTATGTGTTCATTTATTTAATGTGACACCGCTTGTAAGAAGTTCTGCGTACGCCACTGATGATCACAACAACCTCCCAAGATTTTGTAATACAGAGTCACGAACTCTAGTTGAATACATGGAATGATTTCAAGGATCGAAATAAAAAATTGTTCAAATAACAACCGACGGTACAATATAAGGAAAGGACTCCAGAGGACTGCAACGACCAAGCAACTCTACCTTGAATCCTCGCCCGAGTTCGATATATCTAATACCTGGCTTTGCACAAAAATATACAGAAGTGTAGTGTGAGTACACCATGGTCGGTACCTAGTAAGTATCAAGACTAACATCGGTGGAGTAGTGACGAGGTACAGTCAAGACACTCACTAGACAAAATAACATGTGCAATATAGAAATATAAAGTTAATAATGGAAAGCAGAAATTAGTAAAATGGCAACAAAAGCAACATGTGATATAAACAGTAAAGCAATAAGAACACCGTAAAAATACCATTGAAACCAAATAAGGAACACAAAGGACAACCAATTAATCAAGCCATTATAACACAAAATTCACAACGAAATCACTTCATGATAGCTCATTCATAGTCACGGGCCTCAACCCACCATTACATACTCACGGCACCTCGTACCCGCATCTTGAATCACAAACGCACGGACAACTTACGTGCCAATATCTCAATCCACTCAGCATGATCACACGCTCATATTCACAATCCGCCCAACGTGGTCACAGGCTCACAATCACAATCCGCCCGGCATGGTCACAGGCTCACAATCACAATTCGCCCAACATGGTCACAGGCTCACAATCACAATCTGCTTGGTATGGTCACATGCTCACAATCACAATCCGCTGGTATTGTCACATGCTCAATAGCAACATAAATACGGATAATCCAAAAATACATGGGCATGATCAATAAATGTCAAGTTTCATACTCTTCAGCTAGTATATGTGGCATGCTACGGTGTATGCTTGTGCGAGTGCACTACTGTAGCCCCAGTCAACAAGTAACATCGAGTAGCTCATCGAAGCAATAAAACAAGTCACGTAAGGTGTATGGCAGACACAAGGAAAAGCACACCATCACACGAAAATCACCAACACAATGTCCTCATTCCATCACACATCATCCCTGACATTGCCACCCTTATCTCTCTGATAGACACCCGTATCACCCCGCCCTGATAATATCGTTAGCCACCATTATCTCTCCGATAGCCACTCGTATCACTCAGTATAATAGCCACCCATATCACTTCGTATAATAGTCACTCGTATCACTGCGCCCTGACAATAACACAATAGCCACCCTTATCACTACGTACATTCAACAACAGTGAGATGCCACCCATAGAGCTCACCAGAAAAAAGACTGCCCCGCATAACAACAACGGTGAAATTCCACTCTTATATTCCGCATAACAACAACCAAACCACACAATAATTCACAAATGCTAACATCACAACAACACGATGTATCAACTCATAACACAAGTGTCCATAGGCCACAACCTTTCCAAAGATCCAACAATATCAATATTTTCACAACATATAGCCCACGGCTCAAACACAATGTGTATAAAATCTCAATAATAACAAAACGAGCGGGAAAGTAACTCACAAAGAACAACACCCGCTTTAAACACAACTTCAATTTAAAATAGATTAATGATTTTCGATAACCTCA